TTTTTTTTAATTCTTCGTCAGGCTACCACCTCTGTCCCCCATGTCACCTTGTTTGCCCAAAGAAGGTCCCAGAAAAAAAAAAATCGAAAAAATCTATAAAAAAAAAACTATGTTGTGAAGAAAACTAAACTGAACAACTTTTTCCTCAAGGTCACATCGAAATTCTTAACCAAATTAAAAATAAAAAATAAAGTTCAAAATATATTTAAAAAAATAATTAAAAAAAAATCAAATAATAATAATTGGCCTGGCCGGGCAAGTGGTGCCGGGCCACTCTGGTAGCCTAGATTTTTCGTCAATTTCAAGGGAATGCAGAGGAAAGGAAATGCAGTTTAATCAACTTTAATGCACACATACATTTTTGCCAATGGCCCATTTCTAAATTAATTCTTTTTTTTTGCTGGGCCATGTCTCGATTTATGTGTGTTGTCCTTGCGACGGGGCCGTGCTCATCTTCTCTGCATTGTTCCAAGATTAATGGATGTCCCGTAAGGACCTTTTTAAATTTTGAATTTAACATTTATCATCTTAAGTAAGTTCTGCTGCCCATTGTTTTGTAACAAAATGTACTCACTCGATTGGAATCGTGTCCGTCAGTATCAGGCAACAAATTCTCCGATGTTTTTCTTTCTTTGTGTTCACAACTTCACATCGATGAGACACCTTCGTTAGCCAGGAAAACTAAATATAGTTTAGTGTCTTTCAACATAGACCGAAACTGTTTGAACGTAGGTCGACCCTGCCCGACCCTGCTTGGACTTACGCCGACCCTGTTTAGAGAACTTTAGACATATGTGGAAAACTGTTTGGACACGTATGGCGACCCCGTTCGGACGTATCGGCGAACGACCAAACCCTGGGAGCCCTTGGGACCTCGGGAACCCATGGGAACTTGGGAACCCTTGATACTTGGGACCTTGGGAACTTGGGACCTTGGGAACTTTTTGGGACCTTCCCCTTGGGACCCTGGGACCTTGGGAACCCTTGGGACCTTGGGACCTTGGGACCTTGGGACCTTGGGAACCCTCAGCATTTGGGACCTCCTTGGGACCTTGGGAACCCTTGGGACCTTGGGAACCCTTGGGACCTTCGGAACCCTTGGGAACCCTTGGGACATTGGGAACTCTTGGGAATCCTTGGGACCTTGGGAACCTTTGGGACCTTGGGAACCCTCAGGACCTTGGGAACCCTTGGGACCGTGGGAACCCTTGGGACCTTGGAAACCCCTTGGGACCTTGGGAACCCTTGGGACCTTGGGAACCCTTGGGCCCTCCACCTTCCACGCTTACAAACAGTCAGAGTACCAAACAAGAAACCCAAAGAAGCATCAAACATTTCTGACAAAAATGCATGGTGCAAAATTGATATAACAACAAGCTCTGCTTTGCATTGCAGCTTCATAAAAGGCTATGAAAACAGACCTGAAAAAATTGAAACACAAGTGGTTGGGTGACCCTGTTTGGACATATGCCAACCCTGCTTGGACATACGCCGACCCTGTTCGGACATACACTTTGACCTAGTTTGAACTTTTTGTTTTTTTTGTTTTTTTTTTACCTAGTTTGAACATATACTCTGGCCCTGTTTATCTTACAAGCACCACCGGCGCTCGGATGTGATAACTCGTCTTTCATGTCGTGTGTCTCACGACTTGTGTGCCTCATGGTGTGTTGATGTGCCACACGCTGTAGAGTTTGTCTGAACAGCAGGGCCGGAGTTTGTCCGAAGAAGTTCACAGAGTATGTTTCCAAACAACAGGGCCAGAGTAGCACTTGAATCTGTTCCTGAACCTGTTTGGACATACGCCGGCCCTGTTTGGACGTGCCCCTACCCTGTTTAGACGTATGTACGCCAACCCTGTCTGGACATATGCCCACACTGTTTGGATGTATGCTGACTAATAGTGACTATGTTCAATGGCACATGTGTAGCCATTCCCATTCATTATTATTATTATTATTATTATTATTATTATTATTATTATTATTACTCCACTTAGGTTCCAAAGTGAGGTCGCATAGGCCGATCCTCTTCAAGGCACAGGTACTGGGAAGCAGGTAGATGCAGACAGTAGCAGTCAGACGAAAGAAGCATAGCGCATTCAAGAGAGAGAGAGAGAGAGAGAGCCATATTCAGCCGGCAATGTCTGCATCCAACTACTGAAAGCAGGTAGATGCAGACAGTAGTAGTTAGACAGCCAAAGTCAAGCTTTCCCATCTTCTGACTGTGGTCATCAGAGGGTGGCATGTTTGATTCCTGGAGTGGGCATGCACGCATCAGGTTCCCTGACATAGAGCTCTACAGACATACTGTCAGGCTTGCCACTTGTCAGATGAATGACAAGAAAAACCTTTTCCAAAAAAAAAAAAAAAAAAAAAAAAAAAAAAAAAAAACTGCTCATGTTGACCAATGAGCTGGAGGAGCGAAGGTAGAGAAAGTTTCAGGAAAAAACGGAAAAGACAGGAATCGTCAACAGTGATGCGGATGTGGAGAGGACAAAAAGTCGTAAATCATGCACCCACTCATTCAACGAAAAAAATGAAATGTGGAGGCGAAATGGAAAACTTCGTTTTCTCAACATTTCTTTGCCATCCATCGGAAATTGGATTATTTATTTTATTTTATTTCCCCCCCTAAAACTCAGGAGACCTAAGCAAGGTCTCCACTTATGTTATTTTGCTAATCTGACTGCATGTGGATTCGAACTTGGGTCTGCATTTTAACAGTTCATGGGTGCACCTACCGAGCTATAGGTCATTCGGTGAATTAAAAAAAAAAAAAAAAAGGACCATTTCTCAATGCATGTGTGTCATCCTTGCAGAGGGGCAATGCTAATTTTTTCTTTCTCTGTATCGTTCCAATTTTAACTGATATCATGCGCATGGATGACACGCATAAATCGAGAAATGGTCCAAATTTTAAAAATATATATATATATATATATACAGGGTTACCTGACCGAGGGTTCGGGGGCCCCCGGGCTGGCCCCTGAGCGTTCGGACTTTCGGGGTCCCGTTCGGGGGCCGAACACCTCCAGGTTCGGCCCCCGCCAAATTTTTTTTCGGGGCCTGAAAATAAGTTTTTTTTTCTGAATTCTTTTTTCTGAGTTCTCTATGATGTAACCTACACGCCTATAAATTTGAAAGCCATTCTGCTAAGCCAAAAAAGCATTAAAAATCGTCAAAGATGGGGGTGTCAAAACGTGCTCGCCCACTCACTATTTTGTTTTTTTTCACTTTTAACTTTTTGTTTTCACTTTATTTCGGGGCCTAAAAAAAATTATTATTTTCTGAAAAAAAATTAATGAGTTATTGATTATGTAAACTACATATCTGTAAATTTTCAGGGCATTTGTCAATGCCAGAAAAATAATTAAAAATCGGCAAAGATGGCGGTGTCGAAAAGGTGCTGGCACACTCACTCATTTTAATTCTCTTGTTATTTTTTCTTATTTTTATCATAGTGTTTATTTCTGTATTTGATTTTTAATTCAAATATGGTAAAGAATTTGGATGTAGTGCCCAGGCAAATGTTGTTTAGTTTATTTTTCTCCATAACATATTTGTTTTTTGGAATTTTTTGAAAACTTTTTTTCTTTTTTTTTTTCTTTTTTTTTTGGTCCGCGTTCGGCCCGAACGGCCGAACGCCTTCCGAAGGTGTCCCGTACGTTCGGGCGTTCGGCCCGTCCCGAACGTCGGAAACCCTGTATATATATATATATCGTCAAATAGAACTGCCCGGTAAACCGTAGGCAGAGAGGGAGGGAGGAGAGGACAACAAACGAGGGGCTGTGACAAACCGTTTCGTCGGAGTATATATATCGTCACAAATAGAACTGCCGACGGTAAACCGTAGGCAGAGAGGGAGAAGAGGACAACAAACGAGGGGCTGTGACCAACTGTTTCGTCGGAGTTTCACCGACTCATCAGGAGGCTGATATATATATATATATATGTCCTCTTCTCCCTCTCTGCCTACGGTTTACCGGGCAGTTCTATTTGACGATATATATATATCGACGATATATATATATATATCGTCAAATAGTCTGTAGAGTTTTCCATCTGGTGTGGGTGAGTGATAGTCTACTTTGATTTTGGTTAAGGTGGATTATCACTTACAGTGTAATCAGTGAGGGGATTCTACAGACTGTTGAGGGTTCAGCCTCCTGATGAGTCTGTGAAACTCCGACGAAACAGTTGGTCACAGCCCCTCGTTTGTTGTCCTCTTCTCCCTCTCTGCCTACGGTTTACCGTCGGCAGTTCTATTTGTGACGATATATATATTATGTTACATTATTGTGTTGCAGAGTGCAGCAAAATTTGTCAAGTTATTAAAGATAATTAAACAGAATAGGAACCGGACTGACGTTCCCGAGAATAGAAGAAGCCTGCATTCCATAAAATTGAAAGAAAAAAAAAAACAAAGAGGGAGAGGGGCGGTAGACTGATAGCAGCAGTTGATTATGAGATACTTCTGAGAAAACTTCTTACCTCCAACGACTCCGCATTGTAGAAGAAATGCCACGTGCATGCACACATGGCACCGCCAAGTGAAGGAATCTGGTCACAAAAACGCAACCACGAACATTCAGAGGAACAGTACCTGATCTATTACCTGTTATGATCCTTTTCTTTTCTTTTCTTTTCTTTTCTTTTCTTTTTGAACCTTCTTGCCCATTTTTTTAATGCAAAACTCAAACTTTGAGAGAATGCCATTCATCGCAATATGCCAATTCATTGAATTCAGACAATAAGTGGAATGAGAAGACACAGAAGAGAAGAGAATAGAGAAAAGGGGAGCAGGACGGCGTTTAGCCACAAAGTCTGTCAGCCGAGGAGACACAGTCTCATCAGGGATAGCCTCCTTACTCTAGAACTTCAAGAATAGCCAACAGCTAGAATAGCCGACAGCTAGAATAGCTGAGGGGAGAACAGGTACTGATAGATAGGACAGTAAAGAATTAGGAAGGATGAGGGCAGATTGTGGCGAGCATATTTTGCTCGTAAGCTAAACTTTCAGAGTGGAAAGATGTCTCTCTCTCTCTCTCTCTCTCTCTCTCTCTCTCTCTCTCTCTCTCTCTCTCTCTCTCTCTCTCTCNCTCTCTCTCTCTCTCTCTCTCTCTCTCTCTCTCTCTCACACACACACACACACACACACACACACACACACACACACACACACACACACAGAGTGCTAGTGGCTAAGCCGTGCTTCCACGGTGGAGGACGTCGGGTTCATGCTGGGATGGGTAGTGCCATGATGCCATCCTGTAACCTCAGCTGTTGGGGAGCTAGATGTGCAGATCCACGTAGCTGCTGCTGTTATGGAAGTTCGCCCCTGCCGAGCACGGATGTCCAAAGGACAAGGCACTACTGCTATGTCTCTCCCACTTTCTACTGCCATGACTGACTTACAGACGAAATCTGAGTCCAGCCGGTACCCCACATGCAGCGCCAAACAGGAAATGAAGATGGAAGGTCCACCATAGCCAAAACTAAGTCTTCTTCATGATTCCCTCCTTCTTCCTGCTTCACCTATCATAAGTCTCCTCCTCACTCATCTATGTCCCACGTGGGTTACTCCTACCCTCTACCATGTGTAGGCTACTCTACACCATAGCCAGGTACCTCTGTTTCTTCCTCCTCCGCTCCTCCATAGCCATGGAGGACTTCTTCTTCACCCTCCGCTACTCCTCTTCCACTCCACCCGCGTCGGCCCTATTGACGGAGCACCAGCACTACTGCCGGGTGAATGGGCAGGCAGGCCTAGTCATTGTGCCGAATGCTATGTTCTTTCTTACCTCTAGGCCTCCAGCCCCTTTACCCCGGGTACTCTTCACCCTCTAGCGGTGCCACTTGGGCGTACCGGTACCCTGCTGTTTTGCTGGGAACATCGTTGCAGACCGTAATCCTGTCTACATACCCTGTACCTCGACCTAAACTAGACCCAATACATTCGTGGTTCCGTCATTACCTACCTGCTATCCTAATACCAGAAAGATCTTAGAGCTTCTCAGAATTGCCGAAACGAACCGTACTGTAGCTAATTCAACTTCTGTCCATGGCCTCCCTTGAATTTCCGGTTAAGTCCTCCTGTTACCTGTAGCTAAATTTCAGTTCTGTCCCTGTGGCTACACCTATTTACTACTGTGCCCCATCTGAGGTGACAGAAACACATCACAGAAAACAGAGTTAGCACACAGACGCGGACTTCAACAGACAAGCACACCGACATACACATATCATCAGCAGCTCACAGAGACTCGGCAAACACAGCAGAGCAGAGCAGACGACAGCGACTTCTCAGAAACTCACAGGTTTCCCAGACTGAACACTGTGCAGGCCATTGGATAGCAATTGAATAGCAGTTTATTAAACTTTATAATCTTTATTCATTAAAAAAAAAGAAAAAAAAAAGAGAGAAGGCGGAAAAAATCAGAAGCAACTCCAAGCCCGGCAGAGGACTTTCAAAAGTCTCTTATCCAAAAGTCAATTGACTCAATTGACTCAATTCGTTTATGGGAAGTTGGGAACTTTTTTTTTTTTTTTTTTTCTCTTGGAGATCCTTAGCT